GAGAGACTTTGAAACACTCAGTCCTGACAAAAAGATTCATTAAGTGGTAAACATTGGAGAATAGTCTGAAAGACATAGGAGAGTTAGCTTTGGGGATATTTAGGTTTTAGGCAGAGGTAATGACTGGATCTGAAATGTCTTAAGAATAATAAAGATACATATATGATGAATGTCAAACAAATGAGCCAGGGAAATGTAGGGGAGTTCAGAGAAGTTCGTGGCCAAGCATTTGTAACTCTCTCAGTTAATAGAGTTTCTTTTTTTAAATTGCTTTTATTTTTTGATATTATAATATAATTACATTATTCTCCCTTCCATTTTCTCCCTCCCAAAACTTGCATATAGCCCTCTTTGTGCTTTTTCAAATTCATGGCCTCTCTTATCTTTTTTCATTAATTATTATTGCATGTATACATATATATGTACATGCATATATATATTCCTAAATGTAACTTGTTCATTCTGTATAATGTTATTTGGATGTAGGTTTTTAGGGCTGACCATTGTGTATTGGATAACCATTTGATGTGCTCTTCCATAGGGAAGACTATTTCTCCCACTCTCAGCATTCCTTAGTTGCCTGTAGTTCTTTCTGGGTGTTGAAGCCTCCTGGGCTTTCTCCTATCCACTTTGGCATGTCTATTGTTGCCCGTGCTCAGCTCATAGTTAGGCAGTCATGTGGGAGAGACTGTATAACTGTGGTTTCTGTCATCACAGGGGTCTCACATCAAACTCCTGATCCTCTGGTTCTTACCATCTTTCTGCTCCATCTTTTGCAATCATCACAGGGGTCTCATATCAAACTCCTGATCCTCCAGTTCTTACCATCTTTCTGCTCCATCTTTTGCAATCATCACAGGGGTCTCATAGCAAACTCCTGTTCCTCTGGTTCTTATAGTCTTTCTGCACTATCTTCTGCAACGATTCCTAAGCGTTAGGTGCTGGACTTGTTTTGTTGATGTACCCATTAGAGCTGGAATCCATAACTCCACTTCTATTTTTAATTTTATTTTTCTAAACTATTTTTTAAAATTTTTTTCTTACTATATGTTTTGACCATGTTTTCCCCGCTTCCAATTCCAGTTTTCCTCTGATCCTCCCCACCTCTCTCCTCACCCAAGTTTATGTTCTTTATCTGTCTATCTATCTATCTCTCTATCTATCTATCTATCTATCTATCTATCTATCTATATATATATATATATATATCTGTCAAAACAAACAGAAATAATATCAACAAAAAAGAAATTAATACAAAATTGTAAGAACAAAATCAAAATAAACAAGCAAAAAATCCATAAGACAAAATGCTCAAACTAAGCAAGTTGAGACAAAATGTCTACAAAAAAAAAAAAAAAAAAAACATTGAGTTTGTCTTGTGTTTGGCCAAGTACTCCTGGGATGAGATCTGCCCTGCAATGTGGTTAATATACCCAGTAAGACTCCATTGGAAAAACTGTTTTCTTTGCCTGCAGTTATCAATTGCAGATAGCCTCTTGTCAGCAGTAGAAGCCTGTGTCTGTTACCCCCTCTCAGTTCTGGCACCCCACCTGGATTGTTCATGCTGCCATAGTCTGTGATTTCATTTATAAATATTTTATTAAGTTTTTTGAGAATTTGGTATAATATATTTTGATCACATCTACCCTTTTACTCTCCACAGATCCACGACTACCTCACAGCCCCCTTGTAGTAGGACAGGCCCATAGGGTCGAGGAAATTGGCTCAGATGTGGTAGCCAAGGCATGCACATAATGTATCCCTTAAGAGCCAACCTGGAGTCTGCCTGAGGGCCTAGCAACAAGAGCTGTCAAGGTTCCTAGTCAATGTCAGAATTCCTGACAGTGCCCAGTGAACGAGGGATGACCACACAGACTGGGCACTGGGAGGAGGTTGTATAAGGCCTTCCCCGTAATTGAATAGATGAGTTCATTATTTGCTTTTAAGGGATTCCGGGTGTCTGAGTTGTTGACATAGCACCTTTTCACCCCCTCCCCCAAGGGAGCTGTTAGAATCCAAGCAACATCTCCTCTTTTTCATTTCTTCTTTTCTTTCTTTAATTTAATAACCCATTGACTCTAGTTTATTTTCTACATATGCTACTAATTATGCAGGCTTCCACTGGAACATGGTGAAATAACCAGGAGATATACCTGTGAAGAAAACTAACTATTCCTCTCACAGACACTGTCAACTGGTCATAGGTCATCAGTTAGGGGATTGGGCCAAGGGTTCCCTGTGTACTCCATTGTAGAACATTGCTCTTACAAAAAGGGCCAAAAATAATAAATCTGAAGCATATAAATTTTAAAATCCCTTTAAAAACTATTCAAATTATTGATATATAGTTTTGTTTCTTTTTATTTTATTTTATTTTGTTTTTTTCGAGACAGGGTTTCTCTGTGTAGCTTTGTGCCTTTCCTGGAACTCACTCTGTAGCCCAGACTGGCCTCGAACTGACAGAGACCCGCCTGCCTCTGCCTCCCAAGTGCTGGGATTAAAGGCATGCGCCACCACTACCTGGCGATATGTAGTATTCAATAACTAAACAATTTGAAAACCTTGGTTTTTCATAGCCATTTTAATTTACATTATATTGAAATTAAGCAGTCCAAGCTTAACAGAACTGCCTCTTTCATAATTGTATCTCAGATCTTCTAGGAGTCTAATTGAAATGGAGTAGAACTTCATTCTATTGGCATGCCCTCAAAATAGCACAGACTCACCACAGATCAGTAGATGGCCCAGAGACTCTCAGTCTCTCTCTCTCTCTCTCTCTCTCTCTCTCTCTCTCTCTCTCTCTCTCTCTCTCTCTCCCTCTCTCTCTCCTGTCAATGTTTATGCAAACACTGAAAGGAGCTTGAACATCAATGACCTTTGCTCATTGTCAGCTAAGACACTGCCTTAAATGACTTGTATCCATTACAGATTCATTTCTACAGATAGAGAATTACATGTTTGATTTGTTGAAAAATATAAATACCAAAATTGCAGTTTTTAAAACATAAAGCCCAGAGGGGGAAAAAGAGGATAAGAAGAATGCCAGTTGTTTATTTCTTCATAACAAAATATGACCTGAGATGTAGACACAGAACATTTTCATGATAGAAAAATGAAGCAGTTTATAAAAGCCACACAATTAGCAAGGTTAAAATATACAAGATTGAAGAAAATTTAGTGAAATTGTTAGATATATTGAAATATAAGAACTATGATTTTGTTGTTATAGTGAGAATCAAGAGAGCATCAAAGAGGTGGTAGCTTTTATCAAAGATGTGGCTGCTGCACAAATAGACACCTTGAGCCTGAAGAGAAATAAAACAATATTCTATGATGGTATGCAATGGTAAAAGGGAATTGTCTTGTGATAAAGGACAAAACTGAGTTTATAAAGATCCCTGTCAATTGTAACAAAAATGTCTTGGGTAGATTTTTACGTAAATGCTTTGTAGGAGAGTGTGAGAGTGCTAGCATAGCTTGTGCAAGGCCTTGGATTGAATTCCACTACTGCAGATAAAAATACTTAAGATTTTTAAATGTGAGCTGGGCGGTGGTGGTGCTCGCCTTTATTCCCAGCACTCAGGAGGCACAGCCAGGCATATCTCTGCGAGTTTGAAGCCAGCCTGGTCTACAAAGCGAGATCCAGGACAGGCACCAAAACTATACAGAGAAACCCTGTCTTGAAAAAACAAAAAACAAACTATGGTGGTATTTTACTTGTACTGAAATGTGATTTTAATTGTACGTTAATAAATAAAGTTGCCTGGGGGTCAGAGCTATTAGAGCCATAGCAAGAGCATGGCAGTGGTGGCGCATGCCTTTAATCCCAGCACTTGGTAGACAGAGCTAGGTAGATCTCTGTGTGTTCAAGGATACAGCCAGCATTGGAGACATATGCCTTTAATCTCAATACCAAACGTAGAAGACCTGGAAGTCTCTACAGAGAGGCAGTGACGAGGCAGTCATGTGTTTGGGTTTACAACCAATGAGAAGGCAGAACAGAAAGACTATATAAAGACAAACACACAGGAAGTAGGTCCCTTTCGAAATGCTCTCTTGGCTGAAGAGGATCGCTGAAGCAGGAAGGGTAAGGCTCTTAGCTCTGACCTCTTGGCTTTCTTCTCTGAATCGGCTCTGTGTTTCTTATTTAATAAGACGGTTGGTTACATCTACAACAAACAAACAAACAAACAAAACCAAAAAACAAAACAACAACAAAAAAGATTTTTAAATGAGATTAGAAAGTCTTTCTGGTCTAAGAATTTACTTTCACAGCAAACTTTGGTGAGTCATGCCAAGTGCAACGGTCCCAGAGCTGACCCACACCATTCCACGCTGACACAATACCAATCCGTGCTGAGGCTGACCCACACCAGTGTGCCTTGAGACAGGAATGCCCCGGCACTGTCGCTCCAGAATCTGATGCAGATTGTTTTCCTCATTTCTATTCTCATTCCTTTTGCTCTTAGTCTTGATTATTTCAGATTCCAGTCACATTGACTTCAAGCTTGAGAAGGCACTGTAATCATCCATTTTTGATTCTTTTTCTTTTATTTTTAACCTGGATCAAGTACAGGTAATAATCTCTAGGAATAGTCTATTCCTCCCAGCGCCCACTATTGTATTAGGGAGTACATTCCCATCTCTTGATTGATTTTCTCCCATAAGACACAGAATTTAGATAAGGTAGTTTAAATATGACAACTAATGAAGGCTAACAGAAGAATCTCCTCTATTACTGATTTAGTAGTAATGTATACTTCCTAATCATTAATGAAATAAATTCAGAAATAAATGACCATTTTTATCTATCCCACACTTTTAAAATTGCCCTAATCTACTAACACACACACACACACACACACACACACACACACACACACACACACACACACTCACACTCACACACACAGATAAAAGAGAAAGAGAGGAAGAGACAGAAAAGATTTTTATTTTCTTTGAAATTCAAAATGAACAAAACCAAAAATGTGCCTCAAGTTCATAGGCATCAATTGACATAGTTCCATTATAAGTTTATTTTAAATAATCAGGAAGCATTTTCAAAATCAACCCAATTAGTTGTAAGAGAAATTTTATTCAGATACAATTAAGAGTGACTTTTTAACAAATACCAGTCTTTCCTTGGAAACTAGGGCTTGGGGGAAATCAAGAGGCTGAGCAAAAATAGTAAGACAAATAACTATGGTCTATGTTTTGTGTGAGACTAAAATTGTGGGAACAATCTTCACCAACTCATAGGTAAAGTGAGGTAAGACCTTTTGGCCCCACTGTTTCCTAGGCTGTTCATACATGGCTCTGATACAGCAAGCTGTGGTAATCATCTTTTTCCGTGAGGAGTGGTTGCCTTTCTTCCTGGAACTGCCTCTTCTTGCGACAGCACAGCCGACAGCTGAGCCCTGCCAGAGCTGCAGCAACAACGGCTCCCACCAGTGCTGCCCCAAGGAGCCATGGCCAGATCCTAGTGGCTTGCTCCAAGTAGGGCTCAATATAGTTTCTGTAGAAGCCGGTATCTGAAATAAAAATAGATCATGCTGTTTTTGCAATATCACCATCAGCAGCATTTTCTTACTTTGAAATCAGATACTTGGGTTGGAATGCAAGCCTCTTTGCTTACCAAATAGAAAAGCTTGGGGGAAGTGAACCTAATCCTTCTCAGGCTCAGTTTCCTCATTGGAAAGAGAGGAAAGCAATTCTCTGCCATTGAGATCCTTTGAAACCTGTGTAATACCTTGGTGTGTAGTATTGTTAGGTATTGTTGTTACAACTCCTTCTGGTGGTAGTGCAGATCTATATAACACAGTTGTATTATTAACTATTGATGATTTGTTTGATAAATTATTATTTGAGAAACACTGATTGTACTGCCAGCTAAAGTTCAGTAGTCTCAGAGCAGTCTCAGGAACTCTAGGACATTTGTACAAAATCTGCTTTTACAGAGATCTCAGTTTGCTTTATTTTATATGCGTGTGTGTGTGTGTGTGTGTGTGTGTGTGTGTGTGTGTGTGTGTGTGTACATGTATGTGGGCATGTTTGTGCCATGCAGGTGCCACAAAAGCCAGAAGAAGGTGTTGGTTCCTCTGGAGCTGAAGCTACAAGTAGTTATGAGCTACCTATATTGGTGCTGGGATTTGAACTCCTTCCTCTGTAAGAAGAGCTAGCTCTCTTAACTGTCAAGACATGTGTCCAGCCCCACAACTTTCAATCTTAAAACAACAGATTTTAGTCAAGGGTGGTTTTGAAATAATTTTGAATTAGTAAAGTTCCTAGCCTCCTGATCATCTATAATAATTTCAAACCTGAAAGAAATTTGCCACTGGGTTGGGATTAGAACACTTGTGGTTCCCGCCACCTATAATTTTCTACCTCTTAAATCACCTAGTTCAGATCATCTAAGATATGCATTTTGAAAATAACATGCTTGCTGGATTCCCCTGCACTCTTCTTGAGGTTTTTTGCTGAAGTCAAATTTGACCTTTACTTTCATATAAGCATTTCAGTCCAAGAAGCCCTAAACATCTAAAGTGTTAAAGTTCTAGCATTTCTTCTATTACATCCATGACATTGTATTAGAGTTACTATTATTCTGTATTATACTGAGCCCTTGAAAGCCCAAACTACAAAGCAATCCTGCAATTTGGTAGAGTACCTGAAATCCATGAGAGAATTAAATGTTTACTCAATGACTAATTCTGTTTTTGAACTCAGAAAAGGTAATGAAGGAATGATACAGGTTGATATGAAAAGATATATAAAGAACAAATAATACCTCTAGAACTGAGTGACATTAATTTAAATAATCAGAAGATTGAAACCAAATAAAAATGTGAAAATCATTTTTAGGAATCCTGAAAGCCACTGTATTAAATACATTTGACAAATATTTTTGATAATGGGACTTAAATGCCTAGATTCAGTCGCTCTTAGTTATTTAAATACACAGTTCATTTTAAATGTCTGGTCAATATGTGATGGGTTACATCATACATACTATTTACTTTATGTCCCAGGGATCAAACCTGGAGGGCAGCCAGTGCTCCTAACCACTGTGCCATCCCTCCAGTAACTTATTTGACTTTTATAGAAACCCACAGTTAAGAGACTTCGGATATCTTAAAGAGAATGAACTTTTAATATGTTTTTATTTTTTAAAGACCATGGGACCTATAAAGCTATATTATTTTTTGAATTGTGGTGTTACTATTAGCATGGTATCTTAGGGACAAAGGAGGAAGGAAATGATACAGTTGAACAGTCATATGTTTGTGTCAGCTTCACAAAGAGTCAATTTGCCTGGCAATTTTTATGTTAACTAAAAACAAGCTAGGATCATGTGGGAATATTGGAGCCTCATTTGAGAAAATATTTCCATCAGATTGGCCTGTGGGTATGTGTGTGGGATAATTTCTTGATTAATGATTGATGTGGGAGTTCCTAGCTCACAGTGGACAGTGTCATCTCTAGGCAGATGGTTCTGGGTTGTATAACAAAGGAGGTAATTTTGACCTACAATTTGTTCTGCCTGCAAGATGTGCTGGGATAAGGGTGGCACAGAACTTGTGGGAGTAGCCAACCGGTGACTGATCCAATTTGAGAACCACACCATATAAGGGAGCCCCTGAATGACATTGCCTGGATGGCCAAGAACCAGAGGTCAGAGAGCCCAGAGACCTAAGATCAAACCAAACCAAACGCAACTGGCCAAAATGAATGAACAAATGAATGAAAGAATGAACAAGCAGATACATAAATAAATAGTCAATAAAATGATTCATTATGATATTCTGCTATACTTGTAAATCAGAGCCTGTCTCAGTCATCATCAGAGAGCCTTCATCCAGGAACTGATGGGAGCAAATGCAGAGACCCACAGCCAAACATTAGACAGAGCTTGGGAAATCCTGTGAAAGAGCAAGAGGAAGGATAGTAGGAGCCAGAAGGGTTGAGGACACGAAGGACAAGGCCCATGGAATCATCTACGTAGAGCTTATTTCGGGTTCACAGAGACTGAAGCAACAATCATGGAGCCTGTATGGGTCTTAGCTAGGCCACTAGCATGTATGTTATGGTCATTCAGCTTGGTGTGCAGTGGGGGTTGGAGTTGTCTCTGACCCTATTGCCTGCTCCTGGAACTCTTTTCCTCCTACTGGATTTCCTTGTCTAGACTTAGCATGAGGGTTTGTGCCTAGTCTTATTGTAACTTATTGAAATGCTGTGTTCAGTTGATATCTCTGGGAGGCCTGCTCATTTCTGAAGGGATAGAGAGAAGTGGATGGGTGGGGGGAGGGGAAGACTGGGAGGGGGGAGGAAGTGGAAACTGCAGTTGGGATGTAATATACCACAGAAGAATAAATTCAACAAAAAGAAAGGAAGGAAAGAATAGAAAAAAGAGAAGGAAAGAAAAAGAAGAAAGAAAGGAAGGAGGGAGGGAGGGAGGAAGGGAGGGAGGGAGGGAGGGAGGGAGGAAGGGAGGGAGGGAGGGAGGGAGGGAGGAAGGAAGGTTGATGGGCTAAGCAAGCTGTTTGGAGCAAGCCAGTAAGCACTATCCCTCTGTGGCTTCTGCCTCTATTTCAACCCCTAGGTTTGCAGCAGAGTTTTCTCTGGGATTTCTCTGAGTGGTAGACTGTTTCTTGGAAGTGTAAGATGAAATAAATCTGTGCCTGTCCAAGTTGCTTTTGGCCCTGGTGTTTATGACAGCAACAGAAAACCAAACTAAGATACTTTATTGGATCAGGCCCTCTGAGTGGGTGAGACAGTTGATTGGCTTGATCTGTTTGGGAGGCATCCAGGCAATGGGACCGGGACCTGTGCTCATTGCATGAGTCAGCTGTTTGAAACCTGGGGCCTATGCAGGATCGCTTTGCTCGGCCTGGGAGGAGGGGACTGGACCTACCTGGACTGAGTCTACCAAGTTGATCTCAGTCTGCGGGGGAAGGTTTTGCCCTGGAGGAGATGGGAATGGGGGGCGGGCTGGGGGGAAGGTGAGGAGGGTGGGAGGGGGGGAGAACAAGGGAATCTGTGGCTGATATGTAGAACGGAATTGTATTGCAAAAGAAAAAGAAAAAGAAAAAAAAAGATACTTTATTATGAAAGCTCAAGTGCTTTCAGTTTTACTTCTGTTTCTTGTCCTGTTCTTTAGCTTATTCAAATATTCTTTGTTCATATCATTTCAAGTGATCCCGATGTTCATTATCACCAAAGCATCATCTTCAAATACACTTTATGTATTTCCAAACAAAATTTTGATATTTCTTTCCTTTTTATCTACAGTTGAACCTCAGCAGAGTCCTTTTTTTATCTTTTTAGTGTCATGATTTTTCTGGCTTATCAATTTACTAGAAGTTTCATTATTTTTGCTACACAAATCATTCGAATTGCTTCCTACCTTGTCATTTGCAATGTATCTTCTCATTATCAACACAACAAACACATAATGTATTTTGGAGTCATTAGCCTAATTTAAGGAATTAAGGTTACATAGTTTAGAAAGGTTTTGGGAGTGTGTGTGTGTGTGTGTGTGTGTGTGTGTGTGTGTGTGTCTTTGAAAGTGTGTTTGAAGATGATACTTTGTTGATAATGAACATTGAGATCACTTGAAGTGATCTGAACAAAACATATTGAAATTAGCTTATATACATAATGAACATATATATAATAAATTTATATAAAATAAACAATTTATTTAGAGTATTGTGATGGTTTAAATGAAAACTGTCCCCCATAGGCTCAAGTGTCTGAACACCTTGGCTCTAGTTGGTACACTGTTTGAGGGAGGTTAAGGAACTTTCAGGATGTGAGCCTTGCTGGAATAAATACTTCACTGGTGGCACATTTTGATTGTTCATAGCCTCACCCCATTTTCAGTTCTTGCTTGTTAGTTTTCAGTGAGTAGTTTAGATGGTGAGCTATGGTCTGTGAGCTTACTGCTCCAGCCATCTGCTGCCAAAATAAATAAATAAATAAATAAGACCCCTATCTCCATTAAGTTTCTGGTCTCTCTCTCTCTCTCTCTCTCTCTCTCTCTCTCTCTCTCTCTCTCTCTCTCTCTCTCTCTCTCTCTCTCAATTAACACTTTTCTTCCTTCATTTTACATGTCAGCCACAATTTCTCCGGCCTTCTCTCCTTCCATCCCCTCTCCCTGACTCCCATCTATACCCCTCCGCATCCACCCACTCCTCTTCTGCCTCCATTCAGAAAGAGGCAGGTGTCTCATGGACTTGAACATAGCATGGCACGTCAAATTGAGATAGGACTGAGCTCCTTTCCCTCTATAAAGACTGGACAAGGTAATCCAGCATGGAGAACAGGTTTCCCCCAAATCAGGACCTGTCCCTGGTTCTTAGCTGGCTTTTGGGAACCTATTTTCCCATGCTGTCCTTACCTTTTAATCAGTTAATCCTGAAAGAAAATCACTTGCTATTCAGTTTTTTAAACACCACTAAATTCAAATACAAGGGAAATGTTTGACAAATTCAGACATTAGCTGCCCTTAACAACACAATACTTAAGTAATTATCAACATGAATACCTAAATGATGAATAATGACCCTTTTGAACTAAATTATTTCAAAAAAATAGTTTTTTTTTTTTTTTTAGAAATCTTGAAGTTTGGTGATGAATAGAGATAAATTTTAAGTACTTTGAATACACAAAAGAAACAATAATAAAGAATGATTCATACAATAGAAAGTAGGCAATTTCTGTTATTTATTTAAAACCAAATTTCTCTGAAGTTAACTATGTAAATTTGCAGCTATATGAAAACATAGCAAATCAGTAAAGCATTTCAACTTCATTTTGTTTAATGTACATAAAATAAGTATATTCTACCTTCTAATGGAAGTTTTTACCCTCATCACCTTTCTCACACAAAAATGTTTGTTACCTTTGTCTTAACCACATGGACCACAATTTCTCCGGCCTTGATGAATCAGGCTGTGTGTGTGAAAAGTGACATAACACCTGAAAGAAGCTATCATGGAGTAATGGAAAGATCATTCTATAGGTAATCAGTATAGATATTTAATATTTTCTGATACTAGCTTTGTAATTTAGATAGTGATTTATCTTTATGTGCCTCAGTTTACCATTTTATAAAACACAATATCCATCACTAGAAACTGGAATTCTAAAGATTATTCAAGATAACAGTGGGCATGTTGATGGCTCTCTCATATAGATTTAAGGGCCAGGTTTGGAGGGCTTGGAGTTTCAAGCCTATATTTCCTATTGCACTGAAAGTACTTACTCTGATGTTTCGTATCTCCTACTTCTACCACATAACAAAACCTGAGTCTTGTTCCTGGGCCTTCTCCAATTATTCTCAAATATAACAGTGAATTGTACTATAATTTATTTGTTTTACAGGTCAAAGTTTTCAAATGAGCCCTAAATCTCCTTTATCTTCACTCAGTATATAACTGATTTGTCAATCTCTATGAATTTTGTCATCAAAATAAAATAAAGAATAAACTAGTCCATGTAACACACTTACACAAGCCCCCAGTCATAAAAAGCACACAATTTTTGTTAACTTTTATGATGTCTTCAATCATCTCAATGTCATTTTCTTTGTTCAATCACTCAAGAGAAGAATTTAATATTCCAAAAATACAGTGATTTTCTTTGCTTCTTATGTTTCTTTTTTCAGGCTAGAATATTTTTCTGTCTTTAACCTGCCTACCAATCCTCAGTGTCAAAGCTGAACTATGCACAAATCACTGCTGCCCTATCTGTACCCTGTAAGATTTTGCTGATGATTGAGTCTTTGCACTTCCTTCCCAATCTGTTGGATTTCCACACTGGATTTGGTGTTTACTGATATCCAGACTACATTAGTCATTGCAGTGGAACGTAAGAACTAGGAGTTAGTGAAGTTCACACATTTGTCCATTTTTTTACTTTTCTGTTCATCTATTAATGTTTTATTAATTGTTCAAGAATGTATTAAAATAATAGTGCTTCTTGAATATCTCTTACCCATAAACCATTTGTAGCTTTACTTTGTTTTTGTCTAGTCTTCATATACTACAGTGAAAGCTGAGGGTGCTAAGTGTACTGTCAAAATCATCTTCCTCCTTATATTGCTATTTAACATTTAAGAGGTCACTTAAATTCTATAAGACTGATATTCTCACCTCCTTTTATGGAAAATAATACTTATCTAAAAATAATAAATTAAATACGTAAGTAATACATGGAGTTATGGTTTAAATAGAAAGGGTTCGTCCCCACCACCCAAAGACTGATTTTTAAAGGACTTGGCTGCTAGCTAATAGGTTTGGGAATTGATTGTATCATGAGGATTCTGGATACATCAGTTAATTAATCAATGATGGGTTTTCCAGTATAATGAGGCATAATTAGGAGGTGCTGGAAAGTAGGATATGAGGCTTGATTGGAGACTTTAAGTCACTGGAAGTTTGTCTTTGAAGGATACATCATAGATATGAGTCCCTCTTTCTCTCTACTACATACTCCTAATATGCTATTTCTGTCTTGCCTCAGGCCCAAACCAATGGAACCTATCAAATGGTCTAATACCTATAGATTCATAAGGAAAATAATTTCTTTAGGTTGTATTTCTCAGTCGTCATTGCAAAAATCAGGTAGACTAGAATAGTATGTAGTTTCTGCATAGAATAGGCTTTCATTATTACCTATCCCTTCTTTGTCAAGAAGATATTAACATAGTTCAGCATAGGAAGATCAAAGCTCAGAGCTAATCCCACTCCTAAGGCTTTTTCAACAAAAACACAGTAATTGACATTAAAAAGTATTATGAAGCTCATTATTAGTTGGTACTGAAAGTTTCCATTATTGTATTAGTAATCCTACCAAGAGTCTCCCAGTGGTAGTTTATAAACTGTTGACTTGTGTCATACTACATGCACTGAATTCTTTTACATAGTTCAGAATAGTTATTGAGTTATTGCGATCTAAATATATAACATGAAGGAACTGTGATTCAGAAAATTGAAACAATATCCCTATGTAGCTAGAGTTTTCCTGCCTGGCCCACAGTCAGGACAAATCTCTCTCACCTGCCTGTCCCACAGCCGCTCAGACCCAACCAAGTAAACACAGAGACTTATATTGGTTACAAAATGTATGGCTGTGGCAGGCTTCTTGCTAACTGTTCTTACAGCTTAAATTAATCCATTTCTATAAATCTATACCTTGCCACATGGCTTGTGGCTTACCAGCATCTTCACATGCTGTTTGTCATCTTGGCGACTGGCAGTGTCTCTCTTACTCAGCCTTCCACTTCCCAGCTTTATTCTCCTCCTTGTCCCGCCTATACTTCTTGCCTGGCCACTGGCCAATCAGTGATTTATTTTTTGACAAATCAGCAACACACTTGACATACAGACCATCCCACAGCATCCCTAGGTCATAAAAGAGCTAACTGATAGAATTATGGCTTAAAAGCATCCTAATCCTATACTCTTCAATAATTTACTTGTACAAGATGCCCTATAGTAGATAGAATAATTATAAATTTGGGAATCTTCAGAATTTAGTCTATAAATGACAATAAATTGGTATAATACAGATTCTTAAGTAGTTTTGAGAAAACATTGTATGCACACAGGATTTTTTTTTAACTATCCAAAGGAGGCTGGCCACATAAGATTCTACAGTTCATCTGAAGACAACTGAGCCTTACCTGGCTCCAGTAGGTAGCTGTAGTCATATCCCAGATCCTTGGATGAAATGAAGAAATCACCATTTCTGTATAGCGGTATGAAAGGAACCATGTAGGAGTCTCTGTTATGGCCGATGGGTGCATTGGCTTCTGGATAAGCTTCCAGAAGAGGACGGTGTCTTCTGAGCCATTGTTCAAAAATACTATAGAGGGAAGGGTTATTCAGACTCAGGAATATTTTATTTATAAGATCAATATTTGAAATCCTTAGAAAGCAATTATTAATATCCCAAGACATGAACAAATGCTGACTATCTTCAAACTCTAGCAAATTAGTATTGCATATCTTGAAGAAGATCACTCATCAGAAATAAGAGTGAGGATAACTTCAAGGTTTTCCATGGGAAAATAATTAAACTTTTATAGCCAGATTAGAATGCAACTTTGGATTCCATGAAATTTAATCATAGTCATGTTAAATATAAGTTTTTACAAATGCAAGGAGAGTCAAAAGAAAAACCATATAAAACTAAGTTGACAAAGTATTAGAAATTACTCACTGTACATTTGTGGTGGTTATTTCAACCTTTGTTTTAAGTTTGGAAAAAGGTCACGTTTTCCAAGGCAGAACCTACCTTCAATGATAAATGGCGAAACATCCCATTTCCAGATTCCTCTAAAGGTTTTATGTGATCACATGATCACTATGCAGGCATTAAAATAGAACCATTTTAGAAATAGGAAACAGTCACACACACACACACACACACACACCAAAAAAAAAAAAAAAAAGGACAATGAGAATCCATCTTAGTAATGAGCAATGGCAACCTTTGAAACAACATCGAATTTTCATGGGCAGCAAAACTAGTTGTATCATGAAAGAGTATCTTTTGCGCTATTTGGTTCTCTGGAATGCCTGCTCCGGAGTTTGTGGAGGTTGTCCCCTTTCCTCTCTTTTGTCTCTGAGTTTGTTTCACAATAGTTCTGTGAGCTAGCGAAAATTCTTTCAACAAACTTTCCTATTAAAAGGAGCCGATGTTAGTTTCTGTTTGGCACAACTAAAACCGGTAATAATGCTAAAAAATTAAATGGATCAAAAGATGGAGTAAAAATGAGTTAAAATTCAACCAGTAAGAGAATTTATAAAGCCCTTAAAAGCATGACAACAACAACAAAAAAATTGACTTGTGTCACTAGACTGTATATCATAGGAAGATAAGAGATCTGGAGTTTAAGAACTTTACTTGAGAAATAGTTTCTGGTTTTAATCACTCATGACTCTCCCTTTCTCTCTCTCTCTCTCTCTCTCTCTCTCTCTCTCTCTCTATATATATATATATATATATAATATATATATTAGATAGATAGATAGATAGATAGATAGATAGATAGATAGATAGATTACTGGATATACTGGAGACATGGTCACCTCATCCTCATAATCCAACAGATCCAAAATTCAGTGTGATGATGTTCTTATGAAAATGCCAAATAAATGAATTACTGCTAATTTTAAATTTTAAGTTAGTGTTAGTTCATGGTAAAGAGCAAGTTATATAAGGGGAGGATGCTAATACTTGAACAAATAAAAAAAAAAAAGCTTTTACAATTTAAAATACACCAAACAGAACAAGAGAGCCAAATAGAATAAACACTATTTTTTTCCTATGGAATAAAGCAATTCTGTTCAATTGAAATCTTTTCTTCAATCACTAGTCTGGTCAGTATTGGATATTGCCTATGCATTATTGAAGGGTCAGCAGGTCATTGGAAAACACAAAAATCTGGACCATGAATACTAAAATTTTTCTAATTTTGGTTTATTATTAAATATATATTGAGCATCTGTTGTAGGCCAACTTCTTTTCTTCTCCAAAATGGAAATTCCTATGGCATAAAGATACCATGCAGATTAAAACAAAACCAGTCACGGAGGTGTTTGTTAAACAGCAGCATCTTCCCCATGACCCCTCTTGCTCAACTTCTTTCTTATTATTATCAATATAGTAGGAAAACTTTACAACTGGTGATGGAAATGAATTATGCTATGACAGAAATACGAAGGTCATGTGTTTGGAGCAAAGTCTCTAATGATTGTTATTCTTCTGATAGACAGAATTAGGAAAGAGGAAGCTTCTCAAAGATTGATTTTCTTTGGCTCTCAGATTTCTCAACTGAAAAAAGTCAGAACTTTTTTAAAAGCACCAAATTCTATGTAAGACTTATAATGTTTTGAATATTTTTAATATTAGCTTCTACTATTATATTCAAAAGATTCTTACTTGTTAACAGCATGCAATTTAGAAAATACTAACAAGCCAAAAGATGAAAAATTCACATGTAATAGCTTTATATCTGATTATTGAGGTGTGTACATATATACTTGACTCAAAGTGGATATTATACTATTAATTTATATACAATATATTTGTTTAAATCCATATGTTTTCAACTACTAAATATATTTTCAACCATAGGAGAATCTTGGGCTATTTATCTTTTCCCAATTCTCTCTACACTTTCATATAGGAACAGGCCAATGCGTAGTGAGTCACTAGGCTGGGGCTGGAGGTAAAATTTGTACCTGATGTCAATTGAGAAAAATTAGTATTAAAGTTAATTTATAAATAATTTTGTTTCTACCAAGAAATAAAAACAAATCTTTTACCTAAATAAGACAAGAACATCAATCCTTAGCACCAGATTTAATGGATGAGACCATTAATTTGCTTATTACCTTATCAACCTTTGAAAATGAAGACATTAGTCTTGATTAAAATCTCCAGTGGTAGTTCTCATCTAAAGTTAATTTCATCAGACTGTGTCTAGAATGGCTCCCATTGAAATACTAATAGTAAATTGGATAACCACACTGACAGTTTGGGGAAAATCTTATTGAAAATTCATTGGAAATTAATCTGGATAGATTTCTAAAAGTCTGAGGTAGTCAGATAGGCATTGTAGAATTAGTAAAATCTGATTGTAGAAATATGGAATGATCTGTTTTATAGATAAACCTAACAGAATATTTTACTTCAAACCTAATATAAAGTCCTTGGTCACTCTTGTAACTACAATAATAAAAGGGCAAAGTGGAAAATGAATAGCTTCCCCTAAACCCATAAGAAAATCCATGTTTCAGAACAAATTGATGACCCTAAAGCTGTCAATATATTTGCATCCTAAGGAATATGGTTAAAATACGTCTACTAGGAGCCAATACAGCTGGATTCATCGAACGGTAGCAGCACCTAAACACTTTCAGGAACATCTGGAGACTTATTCTATTCTGGGGTGATAGTGATAACTTTATAGGGCATCAGTCCCAAGAGAATTTCAACATATGTTATGACTTTCTATCCAGGAATTCTACAAGGTTTTGAGGATAAAAATCCAAGATTCTTGTCTGACTCTCTCCATGATGACAACAAGCAACCATTGTGAAATATATTGACAATCATTTCCAATTGAGGATGACTGCCAGAATGTGTTTTCTCTGAAGAAAGTTTTCTCCCCATTTGCCCTCTGTTCTTATCTCATTCAGTGGGAAAGAAAGAACAAGAGCCCAAAGCCTCCAGAAAATATATTTATAGTGCTGTAGCAAGGAAAAAGATAATGGATAGGGTGAAAAGAGTTTAGAGAAACACATTTTTAGGCCATAGCACCCATACACTGGTGCGTTAAAAGTTACAAATTTTTCAGACTATTTTGTATGACTTCCTGTCTCTCATACTGTATTCATTCCAACAAAGGTACAATGTCAAAACCATATATTCTACCTAGAGGAAATACAATGTACTGAGAAAATATAAAGGTTCTTAAGGAAGGCATATGGGAAATCCAAATCCAAGAGAAGAGACAAAAGTAAAGGTACTAGGGAAATTTGAAGCTTTTGCTAACTACATCTACAGAAAAACAATTTAAGATGATTACAGGTTTCAAAAAATTATTGTGAATACTCATTCTAATTATGTATGTACGTCAACTTCTACAATTAAATAAAAGCAAATATTAAAGCATGTCAAAATTTAAAAAAATTATCTGAAGAGACAAGCCATCGTCAGAATCTCAAATACCATGTATACTTTAGGGATTATCAAAAATTGAATTAAAAATAATATTGAACTCAATAATATGTTGAGTTAACAAAGAAATGTAGATTGTTCACAAAAAGAAGATGAGATATGTAAACAAACATGCAAACTCTAATAAAGAATAAAAGGAAACATCAGAGATTAAAAAATTCCTTTAACAGAGATAAAGGATGTCTACAGTGAGTGGATGTGTAGACTTAACATAGTTGAGGAATGAATTAGCAAACTTAAAGATGATTTAGTAGAAACTTCCCAAACCAAAATGTAAAAATAAAGAGAAGAATCAAAAAAGGAGGAGGATGGAAGAAAGAGGTAATAAAAAACAAAATAAAAGCTCCCAAATGAGAATTGTTGAATAATTTTAAAGATGAAGCATAATCATAGTTGTAGTATCAGAATATAAGAATGAACAAAACAGACTGGATATACTCCAACAAAATAACTTGGACTTTTTGGAGGAATGAGGGTTTCGTATATCCAGTGAATATGAATGCCTTGTAGTGCTATGGAGTAAGGATATGATTAAAGAAATAATTATTATAACACGCACACATACACACAAAGGGAGGAGAAAGAGAGAATATTTCAGAATGACAGAGGAGCCAACTAAAATTCTTCCCAATTCTTAAAAACCAAACAATTTAAATTAAAATATTAAGTAGTATTGGCTTTTCATCAAAAATATAAAATAACCGAGACTAGGACACCTGAGTCCTGTCTTCGTGAATGGATTAATGTTGTCTTTGGAACTGGATAATTTCTCTAGGATAGGAATTATTATGAAAAATATTTTGTCCCTTCCTTGCTTTCTTGTTTTCTTGTGATAACTGATCATTCTATCTTTTCTCATTTAATGTCAAAGCAAAATGAGCCACGGAACCCACAGCCTTAAAAACTCTAAGAAAAAAATCTGTTAATTAATCACCCAGTTTAAAAATATTCTAATAGGTACCATGGACTGAAATATAGTAGAAAATCTGTTAGGCATACATAGCTAAGGGATAAAAAAAATATCAGAGAGGAAAAAAAAATAGTGGCTTGGAAGCAAGAAATTACCACTGCATAGTGAGCTGTTACACAGGACTGTGGGTATTATGGTTCATGCA